CATTTCGTTGAAATCGGTAACGTGGTGACGACTATAGAAAGTCGTTATGCACAGCGCACACTGTAATGGGAAATGACCCATTAAATCACTAGTGTTAGGCTGTCATAGACTTAGCCTCTCAAGATGGCAACGTAATTGACATTTTGCCCAAGAGCCAAGTAAGTCGTCTTGTACCGTAATCGTTGAGGTTAGCTTGGCAAAATTGGTTTACAATAGATGGCACTCTCTTGAGACCTGGATGCAACCCTGCAGCCATCCTTTTTCACTTGTAATTAAGTGATTTAATATACAACGTCTTAATATACTGGTAGTGTATAATGCTATGCTTTCAGTGTCCACATTTTGGCAATGACCATTACAAATTGACACAAAAAATAATATATAAATCAGAGAAACAAGATCAGTAGTTACAGCGTTTGTCGCTTTGCATATTCATTTGGTTTTAATTTCATGCATTTTACTATTAGCAAAATAAGCAAAAAGAAAACCCAGCAAATAATTCAACTATAGGAATTTTTATTTGATATGTTTATTTTCAGATTGGACTGGCCTGTAAGAACGCTTAGTTTTAGCCATGACGGTAAAATGTTGGCTTCAGCATCAGAAGATTTAGTCATTGATATTGCATATGTTGAAACAGGTACGTGTAAAACATTGTATTCACTCTATTATTAGAACTTGTTTCCCTTGTCAAAATATGTAATGTTTTAATAATTCAGTACAGAAAATCTGGTCTTCTAATAGAGCAAATAAGCCAATCCTATTAGTTAAACATTAAACTATTTATTTATAAGAAGCAAAATGTGTATGTTATGCAACCTCATATTAGAAGGGTTAGGTATGTGTGTGTGTGTCCCTAGCAATGATGACCATATTAAGCAGTTTATTAAAGCATGATATTTCTTTAACTTTTTAACTCTACTGTACATGATTGTTTATTGTTCATCAGTCCCACAATCAACACATACCACCACCACCCCACCCCCGGGTAGTTTTTACCTCTTCTCGAAAACTACCAGCCTGATTGCTTTGATGCCTGTGATGTAGTTGGTAGTTTATCTTTAGCTCCGCTGTCGACTTTGTCGAGCGGAGCTTATCATATGAGTGATTGTTCGTCGTCGTCCGTGTCAATGTTTTACTTTTTCGACTTCTTCTTGAAAACTACAAGCCTGAATACGTTGATACTTGGTGTATATGTACCTTGGGTAGACCTCTCTCAGATTTGTTCATTTCATGATGATATCTTCAATTCTCTAATTTTGGTGAATATTTTTGTCATTTTTGGTAAAAAGTGATATTTTCAACTTCTTGTTAAAAACCGCAAGTCCAATTGCTTTGATATTACATATATAGGTACTACATGTGGACCTCTCTCAGATTTTTTCATTTTGTAATGATATCTTTAATTCTCTAATTTTGGTGAATATTTTTGTCATTTTTGGTAAAAAGTGATATTTTCGACTTCTTGTTGAAAACCGCAAGTCCAATTGCTTTGATATTACATGTGGACCTGTCTCAGATTTGTTCATTTCATAATGATATCTTCAATTCTCTAATTTTGGTGAATATTTTTGTAATTTTTGGTAAAAAGTGATATTTTCAACTTCCTGTTAAAAACCGCAAGTCCAATTGCTTTGATATTACATATATAGGTACTACATGTGGACCTCTCTCAGATTTGTTCATTTTGTAATGATATCTTCAATTCTCTAATTTTGGTGAATATTTTCGACTTCTTGTTGAAAACCGCAAGTCCAATTGCTTTGATATTACATATATAGGTACTACATGTGGACCTCTCTCAGATTTGTTCATTTTGTAATGATATCTTTAATTTTCTAATTTTGGTGAATATTTTTGTCATTTTTGGTAAAAAGTGATATTTTCGACTTCTTGTTGAAAACCGCTAGTGCAATTGCTTTGATATATTATACATATAGGTACTACATGTGGACCTCTCTCAGATTTGTTCATTTTCTCATGATATCTTTAATTTTCTAATTTTGGTGAATATTTTTGTCATTTTTGGTAAAAAGTGATATTTTTGACTTCTTGTTGAAAACCGCAAGTGCAATTGCTTTGATATATTATACATATAGGTACTACATGTGGACCTCTCTCAGATTTGTTCATTTTCTAATGATATCTTCTGTTCTTTAATTGCCATGTGCATTGCTAACAGCGGAGCTATCTCAGCCGACAGGCTGCTTGTTTGTTCATTTCATGGTGATAGATTTAATTCTATTTGTTTTTAATATTCCTGTGTTAAACCATATGTTTCTGTATTCATGAATGAGTCTGCATACATGTATGTTACATCGGTCCTAGTATAAATGTACAAATGCTGTATATATGGTTTATGTCTTTGCTTATCCATAAAAGTTATATTCCTAGCAATTAGTAATAAAAAAAAATCACCCGATGTATAACACTCTCCCGAAAAAAAGCCTCCAAATAAGCCGTATTCCACTCACCGTGAGATCTCGCATGGCCAAGCTGTACGGCCTTAGCAATCAGTTTTGATCAAGTGATACAGGTGGCAGCATCATTGTTCACACAACAATATTGACTGCACAAAAGCGCTACAATGAGATTTTTTAGGGGTGGACGCATACCTCTTGGAAAAGAGAGCAAATCACCATGCGACAGATTAAGGGTTTATTACATGTTTTAGGAAAATAAAATTACGAAATTAATTGCATCATTGAATGAAAAAACAGAAATCGACATTTTATTAAATATTAATTATATACCATCTGAATTTATGAAGTAAAAAAAATATTAGAATCTGTTAGAACGCAGGTAAAGTCTTTATGATCTTCATTGTTGAATGTTTTGGTTCGTACACAAACACTCGATGAAAAACCCTTTCCGCCAAAATGTATTCTTGCACGATTTGACCTGCAACAAATGTCCTTTGACCTAATGAGTCAAGTCTGTTATTAACCAATCAGAATCGTTAAAACTTGGTATTTGATCAATGATTAGACAGTTAGGGGCATTTTGAAGGGGATGGGCTTGACCTGTGTCACGAGGCTGGCAACAGTTGTCAGGATATCTCACGATATCTCTCACAGATAGCGGAATTTCCAATATTCAGTTTTGTCTTCTTTAGCACAACTTACACTCTCTTCCTATAACTAATAGAGGGTGCTGACAATTACTCAAATTGTGATAGTCAAGCCCTATTTTTTCGTTTTGGATAAAACAAATCTATATTACCCGATTTTCATAAAAAATACTTTGAGTGAAATTGAGTGAATGTTTGCAATGTTCTGTACTTCTGTACACAATAATTTAAAATTATACATTATATGTTTGCTTGCAGGTGAGAAGATTACGGATGTTCAGTGCGAGTCGCCGACATTTACCGTAGCATGGCATCCTAAACGACCTCTCTTAGCATTTGCATGTGATGATAAATATGACAGAGATAGGGATGCTGGTACAGTGAAATTATTTGGTTTACCATCAGAACCGCAGAATACATCGCGAGGGAGTTAGGGAGTATGCCATACTTAATATGATGCTGGCACAGTGAAAATTATTTGGTGTGTCATGAGAGGAGTATGTTTCAAAGTTACGGAATGTGCTGCGATACAGTATTTATAACACTGATGGGGATGCTAAAATTGTTTTACTATCAGAATAGTGTGCATTTCAAAGGCATGTGTTATTCTAAGTAGTGACCAATTTCACCGCCCACTAATATGTGATATGGTAACAAGAACCACCAATATGTGTTTTGTTATTTTTAGAATTTTTGTGTAGTCATCATCTCAGTTTATAATAAAATTTTTATGAACACAGTTCTTTGTACTTGTCTCAAATATGAATGCTGTTGCTTGACAATTGTTGATTAGTTCAATTCCTATAGTTCTACTCTAAAATTAGGCCACATATTTAGATAATGCAATAGTTGGCTTTATCTCCTATGCAATGGATTCTCATATTGCCTGGTCTTGTATTGCCTGCTCCCTCACAACAAAGCAATAATTTTCTGTATCATGCCTGGCCCGGCTTTCATCAATCAAAACGCGCCATTCTAAATTATGTTGTGTGTTTGAGATCACGTTGTGGTAAAATTGTATAAAACCTTTATGGACTGGATACGGCTTTTACTGCCCTTGGTTGTACTCAGTTATAATTTGACGGGACGGTGGTTTAATACATAGAAATGATTTCACTGAATGAAGACAACTTAGTGTGCTTAAAGCAAACACCTTGTGTGTCAATATTTGAATAGGTAGAATATAGGGGTGGAGTGAATATACAGTTGTATACAAGTGATTAATTTTTTCATTCAAATCCACAATTTATTATTAATCAGAATTTTCTGACCAACTGCTTTTTTTGACTCCCGAGTGCATAGCACGCAACCGAGTCTTCAGGATGTATGAATGTCTGTGCACATAATTTGCTAATTTTTACCTCTGCAGTCATTGTGGATGACAGAGTGGAGCTGTTCGTATAGGTGATACCACAATGTTCTTGTAAGATATCGGAGCTATTTCGACCGACAGGTCGCTTTTTTTACTGATGCCTCAAGAACTAATCCACACAGTTCAACGAAACTTGATTGATAGTAGCTCTTGAATATTGGGCACACTAATTCCTAATTTGCATAAATTAGTCAATTTATAGGTGTACCACAGATATCTTTAGTACAACTCATTAAATTTGAATGAACTTAGTAAACAGCTGCTCTTGGAGAACTTGCAGATAACTTTAGGATTGAATACATATATTACCAAGTTGCATAAATTTGGGAATTAACAGATTTTTATTATACTTCGTACATTGGTGCAACAGATTTCGAACTGTTACAGCGAGTACAGTTAAGATTCATACGGTAACTCTCGTAACTTTCCTGAGAAAGTTCTTATCAATGTTCCAATAACACTATAAACTTTTCCAGACGATTGAAACTACCGCAAATAAGATTCCTTATTTGCAATAACTTGTATAGTCACAACAATGTTGCAATATGAAAACTGACAAGTTAGCCATAGTATATACGTACAATACAAAACTGAATTAGTTCAAAATCGAGTGGCGCTAGGGTAGTGAGATAGTCACAAAATTTAGCAAATCATTT